CTTCCTTCCTTCCTTCCTTCCTTCCTTCCTTCCTTCCTTCCATCCATCCATCCTTCCCTCCCTCCCTCCCTCCATTCCTCTGGTTCTCTTCATTTGACCACCTCTCCCTCCCTCCCCGCCTGCTGTCTGTAGCCACCTCTCCTTCACCCCCTCGCCTCTCCCATGGTTATCATTAACAATCTCTGCTTTCAGGGCCAAGTGCAGCCCAGAGCTGTGGATAACCCGTTTGGCTGCCCCAGCCCCAAGTGTTGTTGCTAAGGGTGACTGTGTTTCGGGTAGGCTCTGCAACAGCTGCCCCAGTGCTAACAAAAGCTGCCCTTGTCCTGCCACAAAGCGCCATTATTCAAAAAACTTGTGGGCAAAACATTGTGCAGAGGTGAGGGAGGACAAGGGGTGCGCAGGGGGACAGGGTGGTGGGGTGGCACCAGGGCTCCGTGCCCCAGGGCAGGCAGTGGGTTTGGAAGGGCCACAGGCAGCAGCGCTGGGCAGGGGGTGGCCAGGGCTGGCTCAGTGCACTCCCGCCTGCGCCCCACTGGCACGAGTAACCCCGGGGCTGCTGCGCCGGGAGCACCCGGAGGTTTTCTGGCATTTCTCCAGCTTTGAAACACCAGAGAGTTGTGGTGTCGAGGTAAGCCAGGCCACGGGGGTTCAGCCAACGGGCCGTCTGGCCCAGGCCTTGCTCCAGTGGTGGCTTTTGCTTGGTCCCTGGGGAAGGAGGGATGCACGCGCCCCTGGGTCCTCCCAAGGGAGGGCACATGGGTTGTCCCCAGCCCGCACTAGAAACACCTCAAAAAACCCTGCCCTGCAGCCGAGTGGTCCCCAGCTCGGAGGGTGCAACAGAGAGGGTCATGGGTGGGACTGTGAGTGACGTGGGCTCAAAGGTCATGGTGAGCTCTGCAGCTCCTCTTCTGCTTGGCGTGACCATGAAGCCCCATGAGGGGCCAGCAAGAGACATACCCAGCAGTGAGCCATGGGGCAAGACAGACCCAGCAGTGGTGAGCCATGGGGCCACACAGCCCCAGGGATCCAGTGGCCCATCTCCCGGTGGACCCGTGACCCTGGAGCCCCGGGTACCCAGTGGCCCATCTCCTCGGTGGGCCTGGGGCCCTGAAGCCCCGGGGACCCAGTGGCCCACCTCCTCTGTGGACCTGGGGGACTTCCCTTGTGGGGTGGCCAAGCTCCTCTGTGTGGGGCCATCTGCAGAGGGCAGCACCCACCCACACAAAGCTCCCTGCCCTGTGCTGGTGCTGTCCAGCTTTACCCGAGGGTCCCTTAGCCTGGCCCCAGGCACCCAGGCAGGGCTGCCCCCAGCCTCCAGCACCATGCTGCCACATCCCTGGGCCACGGGGGTCAGAGTGCCTGGACCCACCGTCTGCAAGTACCCCCAGGGGCATCGTTCCTGCTGCTGGCGTGTCCCGGGGCAGTACCTGGGAGTGACGGTGACAAATGCCAGGGAAAAGCTCCCTCCTGCGCCATGACCCATCCTGCATCCCCCGTGGTAATGTTGTGACTGCTGCTGTCCCTGCTGCCGTGCTCCATGGCCCTGGTCCCCAGGGCTGGGGGATGGGGACAGCAGTGGGGACAATGCCAGCAGCTCTGGCCAGCCCAGGAGCGCTGCCTGCAACCAGTGGGTTGGGGCAGGCCAGGCTGGGAACAGTGCCCCGTGGGCCATGCAGCGCCTGATATCTGGGCTCTCAATCACGCAAAGGAAGAAACGCAGAAAAGGGGTGAGAAAAGATAACAGGAAACAGGGGACATGACTGGAGAGGAAAAAACACCCAGCCCAGAGCTGCAGTTGGCCTCTGATGGCTCCCCAGGGTGGCACTGAAACCACAGAGCCCTGCTACGCCCTGGTGCGGTGGCGCAGTGCTGTGCCCAGCTGCTGCCTGGCCCCTCACCTTGCTCCCAGCACTGCAGCCGGCAGGAGCAAGGGTGCAGTGGGGGGTGCAGACCCCCGGGGTGCCCAAGCAGCCCAGGGACCCCCAGGGAGTGGTTTGGGGCCCCGCTCTCAGCTCTCTGGGTGCCCCTGCTGGCTCCAGCGACAGTGCTGCATGCCTTGGAGCTCCCCTCCCTGCTGCTGCCTCAGTTTCCCCATCTCTCTTCCCCTGCCAGGGCTTTGGGGGAGATGTGGTGCCTGGACAGCATTGCCAACAAAGCCAACAACTGGGCACGTGGCCAGACTGGGATGGGGGTAGGTCTGCAGCCTGGGCACAGGAGATGGCTCCCTGTGCAGATGCCGCCGAGGCACATGTGTGCCTGCTTCCCCTTCTGGCAGAGAGCATCCCCGGCCGGGGATGGTGCTGGGCGCTTGGCAGCACTGAAGAGCTGCTGATGCCACTTCAGCTGATGGTTTCAAGATGAGTTAGTGGGAGCCAAAGTCAGGCTGGCATCCTGTTTTCAACCAGGCTGCGGGCGGCAGATGGGAGGCACCCTGGCGAGGCTGAGGGCAGGGCCATGCCTGCACCCATCCCAGCACGAACCCCCAGCACGCGAGCAAGGTGCCAGCTCCTTCCCAGCACCCACCCAGCGGGAATTGCCCATGGCCCTGGGTGGCAGTGCCAGGCTGAGGCTCTGGTGCTGATGCTCCCCTCCATCCCTGCCAGCTCTGCCATGGGCAGCAGCAAACACTCAGGGCGCGCTTGGTTCCAGTCTGAGATGAACGAACATCTCGCTGTTTGGCTGCTCCTGGGTGATTTCAGAGGGAGCTGCATGTGCCAGGGGCATGCAGCCGGGCCCAACAGTCCTGCTTTCAAGAATAATAATGATGATGATGATGATGATGATGATGATGATGATGATGATGATGATGATGATGATGTATTAGTGGTCTCAGCAAAAGAGTGAGGTGTGCTTTGGCACAGAGCTGCCAGCTAGCAGAGCTGCCCCATGGGCTCAGGCATGGAGGCTCAGGCTGGCAGCTGGGACGGGAGAGGCGCTTGGCAGAAAGGAGCCACAATTTGGGCTCTGTTTCAAACCTGGCAACTGGGAAACCCCTTTGGGGAACTGAAATCCCACATGGGGCCACATGCACCTTCTCCAAGGAGCCGCAGCCCACCTGGAGGGTGGTGGGGGAAGCACTGGGGGACGGGGTGGGATGTGCAGGCACAGAGCTGTGAGCAGCACCTGCACCAGGAGCTTTCCCGGGGGTGCCAGGGCACTGCTGCGGGGCAGCACCCTGGCATGGGGCATGCACTGGGCCACAGTGTCCCACCCTGCCGTGTGGCACGCACCCGGCCAGAGGGACACACACCCAGTCCGCGGGGCAGTCGCAGGGCACATGCCAGCCATGGGCACCTACCCAGCCACCAGGCACTCACCCATCCACAGGGCGCACGCTCAGCCATGGGCCACTCATCCACCATGGGGCACCCACCTTGCTATGGGTCATGCACCCAGCCACAGGGCACCCTCTCAGATATGGGGCATGCACCCACCCATGGGGCACCCTCTCAGATACGGGGCATTCACCCAGCCATGGGGCACCCTCTCAGATACGGGGCATGCACCCAACCACAGGGCACCCTCTCAGATACGGGGCATGCACCCACCCATGGGGCACCCTCTCAGATACGGGGCATTCACCCAGCCATGGGGCACCCTCTCAGATACGGGGCACGCACCCACACCCAACCACGGGGCACCCTCTCAGATACGGGGCATGCACCCAACCACGGGGCACCCTCTCAGATATGGGGCATGCACGAGCCACGATGCACCCACCCAGCTGTGAGGCACCCACCCACCCCGGGGTCACATCACTGCCCACGCAGCACAGGGGAAGTGCGGGGAGCGGGGCTGTGTCAGCTGCCATGCACAGCAGGAAGGACCCATGTGGGGCCGGGATGAGGCAAGACCGCAGAAAAGAGGAAGCCCTCGAATGCCCCAGCCCAGTGCTGGCAGCTGCCCTTGGCAGACGCACGCCCGCACCTCGCATGCCACCGCGCCAGCCCTTCCCGGGTAAGTCTGAGCTCAGCACCACCGCTTGCTGCAGGGAGAGGGGCTGAGAAACGGGCGGCTCCTGGCACTGCCGGAGCAGGGGGTTCCCTCCCAGACCATCCTCAAAAGGGGGGCAGCAACCCCGCTGCTGGGGACTGGTGGCAGAGGGACCTGAAGCACCAGCGTGCATTGCAGGGAGCCGGCAAACCTTGCCCAAACCTCCCTGCTTCAGATGCTGGGTTGTTCTGGAGCCTAAACTTTGCTTGTGTATTTTAGCGGGACAGATGGAGCAGGCCAAGGCAGGGAAGGGATTTTTCACAGCGAAGCTGCAGCAGCTGGGGTGGGAAAGCAGGGCAGTTTTCCAGGAGGCTCCAAAATCAGGGAGGAACCAGGACAGCCCTAGCCGGCAGCAGGGCTCAGGCAGCCAACGTGTTTTCAGAAGTTACCTCGAAAGGGAAACCAGCTTTGGCGCCAAATGCTGCGGGCGGCCCACGGGCACTGAGCCCTGCCCCTGGGACTGGCACTCCTGGGTGGGCTTGAGCTGGTGGCAGGTCCCCAGCCTGGCCAAGCATCCCCCTTGCTGCCCCTGCTGCCACTCTCCCTTTCCATCAGTGCTGCTGGTTAAGGGGCTGCACCGTCAGCGGAGACCTGAAGCAGGCAGATGGGCACTGTGTCAGGGCCAGCATCTCGCAGCCGGGATTCCCATGTGCCACAGGGCTGAACCCCACCAGTAGCAGCCCCAGACAGGCCCCCGCCCGCACCGTCCTCCCTGCCTTGCCTGCGGGGCACTGGCCATCTGTGATACCTCCAAAATAAAGTATGAGTGTTTGGGGCACCAAGGCTGTGAGCTCCCGGACTGCTGGGGCTCCCTGAGCCTGGGGGGAGCACCCCAAGCCTGGGGAAAGCCCTGCCATCGCTGTAGAATGGTGCTGGGGTGAGGGGGTGCTTCTCGGGCAGAACTCTCTGGTCTGGCCCTGAGCAGGGTTTTGGACTTCCCAGTCACTCCCAGGGACACCCCAGTTCACAGCTGGGGCCTCACTGTGGGGTTGCTCAGGCAGGACCCGGGTGTCCCCCCTCGCCCTTTGGTGCATGGCCCCATCCTGCAGACCCCCAGGCACCTTCCTCCCCGGCCTGGCTGCAGCAAGGCTGGCTGAATTTCAGGCTCAACCTGCCTGGGGCAAAGCAAGAAGGGTGGAGTGGCACCGTGGCTGTTTGTCAGGTGGGGAAACAGAGGCACGGACCAAGTACCAAGGGCCCTTGTGCCCATAACAGGGAGCGGTGCCGAGAAGTTGAGGTGGGAGGGGCGGGTGGCTGCTGCCCATAGGCTCTGTGCCTATGGCAGCATCCCTGCTCACCCCCGAGATGGGGACACCAGGGACTGTGAGAGGGTGACACAAAAGCCACCACAGGGTGACAGCAGGTTCATGGGAGACCGTGGGGGGAGCCGGGAGCCAGCGTCAGGACCAGGGGTGACACTGAGGCCCCGGGTTCGCAGAGAAGCCCTTTCCCCAGCCCTTCCTCAGCCCCAGTGCCTTCCTACCACCACTTGCCCTCGGCAAGAAGACCTGATGGCCCTTGGTGGCCTCTCCTCTTTCCCAGGTGCCAGCTCTGTCCCCTGAGAAGGTGACAGCCAGCCCAGCAGCATGCCCCGAGCATTGCTGCTGCCACGGCCACTGTGGGGCTGGCCTGGCATGAAGGCAGTGGTCACCACCGGGGTATTTGTAACCACCCTCTGGAACCTGAAGTGCTTCCTCAGCCCCTCCAAGGTCTCTGGAGAAGCTCCCAAGCGCACTGAGCCGCTGGTGGTCCTGGTGTGGGAATGGCCCTCAAAGCAGGTCCCCAGCATCAGTGGGGATGTCTGCCGTGAGCTGTACAACATCGCAGGCTGCTGGCTGACAATGGAGAGGCAGCTCCTGGGCCGGGCAGATGTGGTGGTGTTCCCCCATACCAGGCTCCACTCCAGCAGGGACAGGCTGCCCAAGGAGAGGCCATCAAGGCAGAGCTGGGTGTGGGTCTCCCTGGAGTCGCCCTCCAACACTAAAGCTCTAGCAGGGTGGAATGAGACCTTCAACTGGGTGATGACCTACAGACGGGACTCAGACATCTTCATCCCCTACGGCAAGCTTGTGCCCAACCAATCAGCCACCATGCACATCCCCACAAAGACCAACCTGGTGTCCTGGGTTATCAGCAACTACCGCAGGACTCAGAAAAGAGCTGAAATCTACAGAAACCTCTCCAGGTACCTCCACGTGAACATATATGGGAAAGCAAACAAAAAGCCACTTTGCAAGGACTGCCTCTTGCCAACGACATCCAAGTCCAAGTTCTACCTGGCCTTTGAGAACTCCATCCACCAGGACTACATCACTGAGAAGCTCTGGAGGAACTCGCTGATGGCTGGCACCGTGCCCGTGGTGCTGGGGCCTCCCCGGGCCAACTACGAGCAGTTTGTTCCTGCAGACTCCTTCATTCACGTCGACGACTTTGGTTCCCTGGCGGAGCTGGCCACCTTCCTGAAGACCATGAACTCCAGCCGCTACCAGCAGTTCTTTGCCTGGCAGAAGAGGTTCAGCGTGAAGCTCTACACTGACTGGAGGGAGCGCATCTGCACCATCTGTACTGTCTACCCCAACCTGCCCCGGGACCGTGTCTATCCTGACCTGGAGAGCTGGTTCAACACCTAGCGTGGGGCTGGTGTGTGCTGGGACCATCGGGGACACAGCTGGGCAGACACCGGGGTGGGGGAGTGTGGGGCACCCTCCTACAGACCAGGCCGTGGGGCAGGGAGGGACATTGGAGCCCCGACCTCTCCTCCCAGCTCGGCTGTTGCCACACTGGGACCTTGAGCAACTCCACGTGACAATTTCTTGCAAAACGGGACTAATCCCCCCCAACCCAACCCAACACTCATCTACCTCGCCAGGGTGCTGGCAGGATGAGAGGCTGCTTTGGAAATAAATGACACAGTGCTGCAGAGGCTCTGCCTGTGCAGGGGGCTGGTGGGGGGTTCAGGGCTCCCCAACCTTCCCCTGCAACCCCTGTGTGCCCCCCCCAGTGCCTTCTGCTGAGTGGCAAAGCCCTGGTGGCAGGGGCCCATGGTGACATTTCTGGCTGGGGTGAAGCTGAGCTCCAGGCAGCCCGGGGGGAGGGGCCCAGCACCCTGCAGCAGGGACACAGAGCACAGCCTCTGCTCCGCTGCTTCCCGGCACAGCCCGGCAGCACCCATTTCCCCCACCTACCCCCACTCTCGAGCTGTGGGTGTCACCGTGCCAGCGAGGACCAGCAGGACACCGGATGCTCTCAAGAGCAATCTCGGCCTGCTCAGTGCCGGGCCGATGCAGAAAAGGATGCTGTGGTTTCTCACTCCCCTGCTGGGACGCCTGCCCTGCTGTGGCAGGAAGCCAGCAAGATGGTGGCGGCTGGAGCCTCGCAGAGAGCCCGGAGCAAAGCGTGTCCCATGGGCACTGTGCAGCACCGGCAGCCTGCTCCGTGCTCTTGGCACTGCCGGGCCCCTGCGCATCCTGCACCACACATGCACCCCAGGCACCCATGCTGCCGACACCCTGCAGTGCTGGACCCTGTGCCATGCACACGATGCACTATGGGCACCCTGCACCACGCACCCACCCTGCTCCATAGGCACCCTGCACCACGGGCACCCTGTTCCATGGGCACCATGCACCCACCCTGCACTGCAGGCACTCTGCATGGGGAACAGCACCTTGAACCATGGGGACCTTGCACAGAGCACCCTGCACCCTGGGCACAGGCAATGCCCAGACCCCAAGGGGAAGCACCCATCTGGGATCAGCGGCAGATGTCCGGGTTGGGTGACAGGAGGTGGGACACAACTGCCCCATCCGGGCCCTCCTTCCTCTGCGCCCCTCGGCTCGATGCCACCAATGCCAGATATAAATGACTCATTTTGTCACATTCCCCTGTTTCCCTCACTGCAGCCCCAAAGTTGCCCAACCCCACGCTTGCCACCCTGCGAGCTGCAGGCTGCCCTCTGGGACCTGCTCCCTGTGCCCGGGGTGCAGCAGGGCTCAGGCAGTGTGGTGGCACCTCCCAAGCAGAGGGGACGTTCCTGCCCAGAGCTGGTGCTTCACTGTGCTCCCAGCCTGGCAGCTGCCCCTGCAGCCCTCGCCAGGTTGCAGTGACAGGCACACCACGCTCTGCGGTTTCCGTTTTCTGTCTTGTTTTGTCTTCTGGGTCAACCGAAAACAGAGCAGGAGGGGCTCTGAGCACCCACGGGCACGGCGCTGGGGCAGCAGGATTTGGGGGCCCCACAGGGGGCTGGGGCAGCAGGATTTGGGGGCCCCACAGGGGGCTGGGGCAGCAGGATTTGGGGGCCCCACAGGGGGCTGGGGCTCCTGCCTGGCTGGCCTTTTGCTGGAACAGGAAATCAAATGGTGGAAATGCGGAGAGAAGCAGCAAACCTCGGGAAGCTGACGTCCTTCCCAGGCTTTCTGCTCCCAATCCTGATGACTGCCAACCTCCAGCACCCCCAGCCCACCCACTCCCAAAGTGCCAGGCAGCAAAGGGGGCTGTGTGGGGGGGTGTTAGTCTCCAGTGGGTGCTGTGCCCCCACCCTCGGCACCCAGGCACTGGGGAACAAGCAGGGACACAAGGCGAGCCAAGGGGATCCCAGCCCCATCTGCACACCAGCCCTTTGCAGGGTCCCGAGGTGCCTGCAGCGACCCCGCTCCTGCCTTGCCCGTGGGAGCAAGGCTGCAGGCCAGCCCCAGAACACAAACCCAGCGGTTACCAGCAGCCCAGCTGAAAAAGGGGCTTTCCTGAAGTTTCCCTTATTCATTTCGTTGCTGCTGCTCAGGGGAAAAATCCCTCGGGGGCGCAGGCTGGTGGCAAACCAAGCTGCAGAGGCCATGGCCATGAAAAGCAAGGTGTAATCCCCAGAAACTTGCTTCTCCTGGCTGGGCTGGCACCCCTGATCCCCACCAGCTCAGCCCCTGGTGCCCACCTGGACTGGCACCACTTGGGCACAGACACTGCCAGGGCTGGACCACACACTCAGGAGCATCCCTTGCCCACCAGCGCCAGGTTGGCAGCCCCACGGCCAGGACAAGCCTGGGCCTCCTGCACCTTGCCCAGCCCAGGGCTGGGAGCTCCACAGCTCCCACTACATCCCCACCCTGTCCTTCCCTGTCCGCCGCATCCGCTGGAGCAGCCCAGAAGTGAGATCCCACTGCACTCCCACCCTTCCCAAAAGCAGCTATGGAGAAACAGCAGCTCAAAGTGGGCAGAAGACCCCCACCACACTCCTGACCACCTCTTCTCGGG